CCCAACAGACGCAAGTAATATTTCTGAGGCATCTGTAATCAAATACCTGTAGCTTACGAATATCTTCTGCTCTTAGTGGCCATGTTTTGCAGCCGTAAAGTAAAACAGAACGAACTGCCGCGCAGTATACTTGTCCCTTAATTGTGAGACGGATATCTCGCCTTCGTCATAGGTGACGTAAGATGGTGAAGGCCAAACGGACTTTCCAAATCCGTTCAGAAATTTCGTCAGACACCAACCCATTAGGGCTAACCAGGCCTCCAAGATAAGTGAACTTGTCAACGCGTCCGACTACTTCACTCCCTATCCTTAGTTCAGGTGTTAACGCAGACCAGTCCTGAAGCAACAACTTGCATTTAGAGGGGAGAAACGCACATCAAACATCCAGGCATTGTTGCTCAGTGTTGCCAGAAGACTGCATTTTATCAGTGTCTTCACCAAACAGGACTATATCATCTGCGTATTCTAGGTCGATAAGTGTGCCTCCTGGAACGAGATCAATACCCGAGAATTCAGTCGACAAGAATGTTATTTCCATCAGTAGGTCTATGGTGAAGCCTTGACGGACACCACTTGAGGTTGCGAAATCAGATGACAGTTCTCCATAAGCTCTCTCGAGCAAAGAGCCTTCACAAGGTTTATGTACTTCTGAGGTACATCTTTCAATGACGGACACTGCCACAGAATCTCGCGATCTACCGAGTCAAATGCTGCTTTCAAGTCAAGAAAGACCACCATTGTCGGACGCCGATAAGTAGGCCTATGTTCTAGAACCTGAAGAATGGTGAATATGTGATCGATGCAGCCACGACCAGGTCTGAAGCCAGCTTGATTCTCTTGTGTTTGCAGTTCATGAGTCTTAGGCGTCTGATAACTATCGAGGCTAGTATTTTAGATACTATATTAGTTAAACTAATCGCTCTATGGTTGTCACAGGATGATTTTAACCCTCTCTTATATATTGGGACGATAAGTGATTGTGACTAGTCAGATGGGATAACGTCTAACTCCCAGATCTTAGTTAAAATATTATTCAACCTAATCGCTAAAATTGGACCACCATCCTTAAAGACCTCTGGAGACAATCCATCCGCCCTTTGTCGTTTCAGATTAACTATAACCTTTTGAACTTCTGCTAGATTTGGTTGACCTAATTCAATGTTCTATTCACACTGTCTGGGAATGCAGAGTAGTTGTAGAGTAGCTGAAGGCCAGCTGAACTGTTCTCTGAAATGTTCCACCCATCGTTCTAAACGTCTGGACTGGGAGCAGATGAGTGCCGTCTTTTTCCGAAATAGTCTGACTTACACTTGATTTATTAATTCCAGTTTCTTTTATTAGTCTGTAGAGCTGTCTTGTGTTCCCTAGAGCCGCCGCCTTTTCCATCTCTTTTACTTTCGTTGCCCACCACTGCTCACGGTCGTTCCTTAGACTTTTGGTTAACCTAGATCTAATTTGTCGTTGCTCTTCATCGTGTTCAGAGCCTGATGGGATGAGTTTACGAGAATCCATCAGTGCAATAGACCTTGAAGAAATCCATTGGTTCTTTGCAACCCTGTGGTTTAAACCACTGATAGATGTCACTGTTGTTTCCACAGCTGTTAGTAAATCTTTCCAAGCGGCATCTGGGTCAGCCTCGTTGTTCCTCAGTTGTTCTCGATGATTGTTGAGGCTAGTATTTTAGGTGCTATTTTAGTCAAACTAATCCCTCTATGATTACCACAGGATGATTTTGATCCCTTCTTTAATATTGGAGCAGATGGGATTCATGGGATGGATATTCAAAACACCAACTTTACTTACAGCTAAAATGTCAACAAATTTCAAACCTTTCATTTTTTTTCCAATAAAACAAGAACAGTATAAATGAAATAGTAGGAATTTGTTCACTATGTGGATTCTTTTTAAAAGTTTGAAGTCTAAAACATCTATATCAATTTTCCGAAAAACGGTATGTGGACACTTTATTAATGTTCATACAAAAAGTATCAATAAAAAACAATAATATAGAAATAGGAAAATTGAAGGTAAAAGATGTAAAAGCAGTTGAATGGGTCATTTTGTTATACTGATGTTGAAACAGACAATAGTGACTATAAATAATACACCTTTACTAGGAAACGATTATGTATTGTTAAAACTACTAAAAATAAGGTTATTGATAACTTAACGAACACTAATCAAAATACGATATATGCAGTGCATCTGTTAATGGTTTAAACTATTTTTTTCTAGTTAGCCTTTTTGCTCCATATACACAAGGAGTTGCATTGATGCTATCCAAACAAACACAAAATGCACTTATAGGATGGGAATCTCATGGACCCAGGATCCTCAAAACCTTCTTCAAAACAAAGAACGAAAGAATCACGATGAATATTATCAAATGTTATACACCCGCCAATGATAACAATGACGACGATAAAGATCAGTTCTACGAGAGGCTTCAATCGATCATAGTGAAGGGCTCAGAAAAGGACCTGACCATCCTGATGGAAGGCCTAAACGCCAAAGTTGGAATGGACAACACCAGGTACGGAAATATCATGGGACGACATGGATTGAGAGAGAGAAACGAGAATGGTGAGAGATTTGCAAACCTATGTGCATTCAACAAATTGGTTATTGGTGGCACAAGGTTCTCGCAAAAACGCATGCACAAAGCCACACGGATTTCACCGGGTCACACTATACAGAACCAAATCGACCATATCTGCATCAATAAAAAGTTAAGAAGGACGACGAAGGACGTGAGAACCAAGAAAGGAGCTGATATATCATCAGACCATCACTTGCTGGTCGCCAAGATGAAACCAAAACTCAAGAAGCACTGGACAGCGGAGTGGACATCACTACAAAAGTTTAATACGACGTTTCTTCGGGATACCGACAGACTCAACAAATTCAAGATGTCCCTCAGCAATAGGTTCCAAGCCTTTCACGGTCTAATTAATGGAGAGGGAACTATCATAGCGAACAGATGGAAGGGGGTCAAGGAGGCAGCCACTTCAAAATTTCATGAGGTTCTGGGGCACAAGAAGCACCATCACAGGTAATGGATCACAGTTAATACACTGGATAAGATTCAAGAAAGGAGGATTAAGAAGGCAGCAATCAATATCAGCCGAACAAGAGCAGAGAAAGCCAAGTCACAAGCTGAATACACAGAAGGAAACAAGCAAGTAAAGAGAAGCATCAGAGCCGACAAACGTAAATATATGAAGGATTTAGCAATGACGGCGGAAAAGGATGCAAGAGAAGGAAACATGAGACGATTGTATGACACAACAATGAAACTCGCTGGAAATTATCGTAAACCAGGACGACCAGTGAAAAGCAGGGAAGGTAATATAATCACCAACATTGAAGAACAGTGAAACACGTGAGTAGGCACTTTAAGGAACACTTAAGTCGACCAGCCCCACTGAACCCGCCCAACATCGATGCAACACCTACGGACTCCCCAATCAATGTTGGCCCACCAACAATTGAGACCAACATGATGATCAGACAAATCGAGAGCGGAAACGTAGCGGTACCAGACAGACGTGGCAGTAACTGCAAGTATGCTTCACGTTCTGTTCAACAAGATTTGGGAGGAAGAACAAGTGTCGATGGACTGGAAAGAAGGGCACCTTATCAAGATGCCAACGGAAGGAAATCTGTACAAGTGTGAAAACTACAGAGGCATCACACAACTGTCAGTACCAGGAAAGGTTTCTAACAGGGTGTTGCTGAACCAAATGAAAGACTCAGTAGACACCCAACTTCGAGATCGACAGGCTGGATTTCATACGGATCGGTCGTGCACAGACCAAATCGTGACACTACTGATCATCGTTGAGTCAGGCAAGGTTGCTTACTCTCACCCTTCCTCTTTCTCCCGATGATCGACTGGATTATGAAGACGTCAACATTTAGGGGGAAGCATGGGATATAGTGAACAACTAGGATACAGCTGGACTGTTTAGACTTCGCAGATGGTCTGGCTCTTATATCGCACACTCAACAAAAAAACAGGAGGACACGACCAGTGCAACAGCAGTAGGTCTCAACATACACAAAGGGAAAAGCAAGATTCTCAGATACAACACAGAATGCAACAATGGAATCACATTTGACGGAGAAGATTTGGAAGATGTAAAAACCTTTATATATCTGGGCAGCATCATTGATGAACAGGGTGGATCTGATGCAGATGTGAAGGCGCGGATCGGCAAAGCAAGAGCAGCATATTTACAACTGAGGAACATCTGGAACTCAAAGCAACTGTCAACCAACACCAAGTTCAGAATCTCCAATACAAATATCAAGACAGTTCTACTGTATGGGGCGGAAACTTAGAGAACTACGAAAGCCATCAACCAGAAGATACAAGTGTTTATTAAGAGTTGTCTACGCAAAATACTTTAGATCCGTTGGCCGGACACTATTAGCAACAACGTACTGTGGGAGAGAACAAACCAGATCCCAGCGGAGGAAGAAATCATGAAGAAGCGCTGGAAGTGGATAGGACACACATTGAGGAAAGCACCCAACTGCGTCACAAGACGCCCTCACATGGAATCCTCAAGGCCAAAGGAAAAGAGGAAGACCAAAGAACACATTACGCCGGGAAATGGAAATAAACATGAGAAAAATGAGCAAGAATTGGGTGGAACTAGAAAGAAAGGTACAGGACAGAGTGAGTTGGATGGTGCTGGTCGGTGGCCTATGCTCCATTGGGGGTAACAGACGTAACTAAGTATCTGTTAGTTGTATATATATAGTCATCAGCCTAACTATTAATACAACTTAGTAATAATAAACCTCTCCATACATTAACGAAGTAGGAAAATATGTGAAAGAAAACAATTCAACATTTTTTTATTTAAACACTATTTGCAAAAATAACTTTGTAAATAAAATTTAAAGTTTATGTAAGCCCAAATATTAAAAGCATTTTGCAATCAGGCATAAAACCATTAAGTTGTGTGGAAATTTCACAGCAAGAAACTAACCTCTCTCAGATTCAGAATTCCCATCGTTAGAATCTTTCACGGCCGATCTTACCGTTCGTAACTAAAAGTCAGATATGACTGGTTTAAGTATAAATTTAAGCATTAAGACGTAGTTAAATAATCCATACAGTCATAAAATCCCATTATTTGAATAATAACGTGTTATCAGATAACAATAATAACGAGTAGTTTACTTTCTACATTATCAAGCGAAGTTTACAACTGAGAACAAACCTCTACGCATATTTTATGGAAATTAATTTACATGACTCAAGGAAATGATAGTAAAACATAATATGGAGTAACTACAGCCAAATAGACTAAACACTAAACATCGGAACACCATAAAAGACAAACTAGATTAGATTATAAGTACAGCGAATGCAAAAAGTGGCCATTAGCATAGTTTCCACCGGTTATAAATATAAATATAACAGTACTAAAACGTTTAATCGAAAGTGAATATATCGCGATCTAGCACATATATTTTCATTTGTACAATATTTTACCCCTATAAAAGATTTAACAGTAGACAACAAAATGGTACGAAATGTTTGAGACACTTGGTCATGTTTATTGAAGTACCAAAAAAGTCCTATCCTAATCATTGATTTGTTTTGTTCTCATATAGTCTATGTTGCTACTTCTAATACTATACTAGTATAAAGATGTTCAGTATTTCTCTAACATTTCAAACGACTTAATGGTTGCTTTGAACCAATTTTTGGTAACGCATTAAATAACTAAGTATGCCACTTTAGAAGCCTCATACATAAATGGGATAAACAAATTTTCTAATGATATTGAAAAACTGTACAGGTAAAATGGGATGCATCTCAGAGATAAACCTACAGGATTTTAGGTTAGTAAGGTTAATAAACTTTCCGTTTAATCCAACTTCAGTAGTTTGACATAATCCAGTTCGGAAATCATTTGACGCTTGACAACATCGATATTTGCACATGTAAATGTGCACTACTTGCAGAATTTACTATAGTTCCTGACGTATCGTTAACCTATGTATTGCGGCTGAAATAACTAGTTGGCTGTAGCAGCGAAGCTTTCAGTCATAGCTGACCAAGATTTTCAAAACTATGACTCATAAAAATGTCGTAAATTAAGTATGCGTTATCAAGTCTTTTTCCATTTGAAATGTTTGCTTTTGCTAGAAGTAACTTGTAATTTAATGATCCATTACAATTCTATGGAAATAATAAGATCCAGGTACAAGAAACTAATGTGATATAAAAATTTACCTTTCCAGGTGATTTCACATTTTCAAAAGCAAATGTTGACAGTAACTCAACATAAGAAGCAAAACCCCTTCAATTTCCAGTTGCAAAAAGTAGTTTTTAACCTTTATATCTACATACAAGACGGTACGTATGTAACCGACAAGGGATTAATTCTTAGTTTTATGGATAACAACTGTCAAGTAGATAAAAAAAGACTCTAGGTTAATTGACATTAACAGATGAATTATATTTGAAGTAATTAGTCAGAAATCGTATTGCAATGAATCACTCAAGGACAATAGGCGTTATGCTTCAATACTTTTTAAAACTCTCTTGGTTTAATTCTATATTCGGCAGTTCAAAAATCAATTGATAGCGTTAACGTTTGTCTGATCATTCTCTTGTACTTAAGTCAGTAACTGCAGTGTTACATTTCCGAACAAGTCAACAGAATATAAACTAATTAAAAACTAACTTGTTCAAGTTGCTGCTGTTGATGAACAAGTTGGAACCTATAAACTTCGGAGAGGTAGTGTTCAAAATATTGATCCTGCATTTCGGTTACCAATGCCTTTTGCTAAAAATAATAATGAGACTGAAAATAGGATGCATTTACTTTTTCTAAATCTTTAGGAAACTGTTCCCGAGCATATTGTTCATATAGATCTTTAGTTTGCTGCACTAGAGCCGATTTAATTTCAATCCTAAAACGCTAATACAAAAATGAAAATGCGCCATTACTCTTTCTGACCTAAATCTCCTTGATCATCGCAAACAGAGGTTTTACGGATTTCATTTGAATCAGGTGGATCATTCAAGGAGAGGGTTTCAAATTTATCCGGATTAGATACATTTGTCTCGAATTCTCCCATTATTTAGAAATTATTCATAATCTGTTAACAAACTGAAAGAGTGTAAAAGATCATTAATTATACTAGATTTACGCAATCGCATAAAACCATATACTGTTTAAATACTAAACGTACACATCTAAATTTTCATCATACCAAAAAACACAACCAGCTTCTTATCACGACAAAACAAAATACAATCGATTCCTTAGTAAATTAGAATTAGAATATAAAGCACAGCTAAATTCACTTAAACTGTCAATAATGAAATGAATTTTATAGATAAATGATCGGCTGTGAACCATGTTTAGGAAATTTTGAGAAATGAAACTAAACCTGCAATTTTAAATAAGCAATAGTGTTTTTAATCGTCTAACGAAGTGTCCTTAAGTGTCCATTTTTGGAACAAAACTCACCAAATTGTGTAGGCCAAAACGGCAACTACTCATCGTAATCAACTTCAAGTATTCATTTTCACTCCAACATTAACTTTAAACCCCTTATTTTTACTAAGCTTGGTTCAGATATTAAATGTTTGCATAAACATTTACAGATTTCTATACTCACTTTAATAAGTAACCAAATCGAATGCGTTCAAAATATATCGACATTATTAGTGTCAAAAACTACTAACTACGCTTTCTAGCAGACCGACCATAGCCTATTTATTGTACGAACCGCAAGACTAAGGCTTCATCAGATCCTAATCTTCATATTTTGGAGAAAATTTCGTCCATTTTGAAAAAATGCCACACAAAAATTCTCAAACTCTGGGGGAATCTCAATAACTGCTGAAAGGATTTTGGACTTTCCCCACTATTTCCCCAAACTTTGGCCAAACTATGGACTTTCATTAATTTTAAGAAGAACCCCAAACTTTACTCAAAACTCACCAAAATCGGAAGATAGAGGCTAGACGAGAATGGTACAAAAGTTACTTAAATTTCTTTCTAACCAAAGAGTTTGCCTATCATATTGGTAGTTGACGAAGACAGTATACAAAATAGTTATATATCGATAAGCAACTAAGACGGAAACAATTAAACCTCAAAAATAATATTTAAGCATATGCTTGCAATAAGAAATGTACGGATCACTAGAGGCGATTAAAAACAGCTTGATAAAAAGGTAAGTACTTCGGTCTGTTTATCACAAAAACACTGGTTCTTTACCGATCCAAACAGAAAATCCCACAACTGAGATAGTACAAACGTAGCAAAAAAACTAAGTAACGCTAAAGCCAGTAAGCCCGCTCGTATAAAATACGTACATTACATTAGTAATAAATAAGTAAGAAAATGATAAAAATAGCTTCTAGATAACTGATTATCATGTCTTACATGGTAAAATTCTGAAACTTTGCAATGAAAATCACGGCATGTCGTGACATATTGAATATTTCCAAAATGTATCAGTTTTATCGGAAATAAAATAATAATTCGCTTTTTGACTGTTGATTAACCTGAAAAAATGGTTATTTTGTGAATAGTTTTTGATTTTGGTAAATAAATCCCCAAAATAAATAGCTCTGTAAGCTTTCGACATTGGATGCTGACTACATGTTTTATTGAACTCACCTGGCTGAAGGCGCTCGGTCATGCATCTGATTCAGATCACGAGTGGGGACGCCATGCTCAACATCTACTGCAGTCGCTAGCCAGATTAGATCTGACGATTCTCGATATATTGATATCACATCAAATATATCTTCCAATATTCCCGATTCTGTCTTTTGATTTCTGTTGGTGGGGACGAGTTATATTAGGTGTTACTGGTTAAAGAGTTGTCAAACACTGAATACCTGTGCCATCTTTATGATGCTATTTGTATTTAGTCTGTCAAATTTCCACTGCATGTACATTTATTATTACATCATTGTATGTGCTGATTAAGTGTATGACCTTGAACATACTTTCTTCCGTCGTGTTACATTCATATCATGAAACACGCTGTCACTCACTAACAAATACACTGTTACACACATACCTCTTGTTCTCCACTCGCTCATGATTGTGTTAACTGAACACAAAATCAAATACCGTCTACATTCATAGATTACAATCGAAATATATCATATTCTACGTTTGGTTATACCGCTAAGAAGACATCAATTTCACTGGAATATTCAGTAATATATAATTTTGGATTTTGGTACCAGAATCAATTGGAACACGCACAAACCGGCTGAATTAAGTAACGTCCCTCATTTTTGTTGTGTTTCTAACATATAACTGATATATATTAATAACACTATTTGTGCTTGATACCTCTGTTATCATTTTTGAGTTTATATATTATTTGGTCCACCACAATTATCTGGTGAGCCTCGAATGTGTTATAGTCGTTATATTGCCTACACATTTACTTGACACACTAGTTTATTTTTCACATCATGTACTCTCCAAATAATCTTATCGACGCGGATTGTCCCCCAGTGAACACCGTCAACTCATCGCATTCATATGACAATATTTTAAGCTCAGTTAATGCCATTTCCGAGTTCAGACTACTGGCATACGGTGCCAACAACCCCAGGATCTGGCTCGGGCAAACAGAAACCTTATACTTAGTGAGAGGCATACGCTCCCAGGTGACCATATATGCCTATGTTGTCGGCGCACTTCCCATCGAAATCGCTACTGAAGTCGGAGATTTGATCGAACATGTGCCAGAGACTGATCCTCACGACAAAATTAAGGCAACCATAATACAACATACATCACTCTCTCATGAAAAAAGACTACAGCAACTGCTAACATCATGTGAACTAGGGGACAAGAGACCGTCACAGTCGCTACGACACATGAAACAGCTAGCGGGTTCATTTAAATTAGATGAAGCATTACTTAAAAAAATGTAGTTCCAATGATTACCATATAACGCGAGACAGATTCTTAGTGTGCCGAGAAATTCCGTCAATCTAGAAGACCTAGCAGATATGGCGGACAAAATGATGGAGATTTACACTGATAGTCATTATGTTAATGCGATACAGACCTCTGGTAAAGAACATACGAACACCACATTTAACATCCAGCAACAGTTAACGCAGTTAGCATCATTACAAGCTACTATCGTGACTATCCATTATCGACCAGCTAGATCCACGACTAGAAAAAGATCAGTTTCCAAACAGCGCTCAGATCACCTGAACGGGCAGCTGGAATTTGTTGGTACCATTTGAAGTAGGATGGAAAAGCACGGCGTTGTACATAACTGTGCAACTTCACAACAAACAACCGTGAGAACCAGGGAAACGGGCCGGCCAGATAGTAATAGCGGCATCTGTTACTGGCCAACACGCTAGCCGCCTCTTCCACATCAGGGATCGTATTTCCGGCTCAGACTTCTCAGTCGATACAGGAGCAGAAATCAGCATCGCCCATTCCACCTCTCGCGGCGACGACAAACGACAAGTACCAAGTTGTCACTCATCGCGGCCAACGATACGGTCATCAAAACTTATGGAGAGCAATCCCTCAATTTAGACCTCGGACTCCGGAGAAGATTCACATTGGTTTTTATAGTCAAAAACAACATATTCTCTGGGTGGAATTTCGTAGCCCCTATAGTCTATTAGTAGACACGAACAAAAAGAAGCTGACTGACAAAAATACAGGTTTGCAGGTGGACGGTACACTTACCACCGACTATGAAATATATGGTGTACGAATAATGAAACCTGTGAACAACCTTTTCACTGACATCCGGATTAAATACGAGTGCATCACTAAGGCGGATTAACAAAAAGAATACACTGTACATCATGTGCAACACCACATTAGCACTGCCGGTCCACCCATTTGCGCCAGGGCGCGGAGATTACCACCAGACAAGTTGCAGACGGCTAAGAGGGAATTCGAACACATGATGCAACTTGGAATTATTAGACAATCTAACAGTCCTTGAGCCTCACCATTGCACATGGTTCTTAAAAAATATCAATACTGGTGTCCTAGTGGTGATTACCGACGTTTAAGTAACCAAGCCGTCCCTGACAGGTACCCAATTCCACACATACACAATTTTTCATTAAACTTACATGGAAAACGTATTTTCTCGGGACTTGAATTTGTGCGAACATACCATCATATTCCGATGGCACCAGAAGACATCGCAAAAACAGCCATCATAACACTTTTTCGTTTGTTTGAGTTTTAAAACATGCCATTCGGACTGAAAAATGCCTCTCAGACGTTCCAACGATTTAAGGACGTGGTTACCATAGATTTAGATTTTGTATTTACCTATATCGACGATGTTTTGATTGCCAGCTAATCAATCGAAGAGCATGTCCAGCATCTTCAGATCCTCTTCGACCGTTTTAAAAAGCATGGCGTCGTAATCAACCCTTCTAAATGTATATTCGGTGTCTCAGACTTAGTTTCTGGGACATTACATCGACTCTCAAAGCATTAAACCACTTCGAAAGAAAGTCGAAGCTATCATCAACTACCCTGAACCAACTTCAGTAAAATCATTACGTCGTTTCCTCGGAACGTGTAATTTTTACCGACGATTTCTACCAAATTGTGCAGACGTGTTACAAGCGTTTACAGACTTGCTGAAAAGTGATAAAAAAGGCACGAAGAGAGAAAAGAACGAAATATTCAAGCTACCTTCTGACTCTAAAACGGCATTCGAAAAAGCGAAGTCCATGATTGCTAACGCCACTATGTTACAACATCTAAATATTGACCCCACGAACCACCTGATTCTGTGTACGGACGCGTCACAAAACGCCACAGGGGCAGTTTTACAACAGCAAGTAAGCAACACGACTACTCCCATAGCGTTCTTCTCCAAGCGACTGTCACCAACTCAAGAACGTTGTAGTAATTTCGAACGGGAGTTACTCGCCATTTATTTAGCTGTCAAGCACTTTAATTTCTTATTACAAGGGCGTACTTTCACCATCATCACGGATCACAAGCCTCTGTGTTATTCATTCAACATCTCTTATGATCGACATTCACCTCGAGAAGCACGACAGTTGGATTACATCTCCCAATTGACGACAGATATCCAATTTATCAAAAGACATACTAACGTCGCAGCCGATGCACCATTACGAAAGGATACAAATACTCTGGTAAGTAAACAAGACGTTGAACTTGAAACAACTGCAAAATTACAACTAGACGACGCAGACTTTTCTCAAACTCATCTATCATCTGTGACGTTTCAACGGGCAGTAACCGCCCCTTCGTACCTCAAACCGACACCAGGTTCTTCAATAACTACACGAACTTTCACACACTGCAATTAAAGCTACCACAAAATTGATTACTGAACGTCTCGTGTGGCCGAAGATGAACACTGATATAAAGCGATGGACCCGAAGATGTCAACGCAGCGAAATTCAAAAACACACAATTAGTCCTGTTGAGAGGTCCCCACTACCAGATAAATGCTTCCAACACATTCATTTAGACATAGTCGGTCCCCCGCCACCATCAGATTTACTCACGCATATCCTCACCGCGGTGGACAGGTTCGCAAGGTGGGTAATAGCATGACCTATCACCGACACATCTACAGAGACGGTAGCAACCACATTCCTTGACAGTTGGATATCAAATTATGAAGTACCATCCATAGTTACTACAGACTGTTGTCCCCAGTTCCAGTCTTTCCTATTTCAGGAATTCACAAAACTTCTGGGTGTGAACCACATCAAAACAACAGCCTATCAAACGGCAGCTAATGAACTGGTCGAAAGGTTCCACCACCAATTAAAAAGCTCGCTGATGTCACCGGATGATACATCAAAGTAGAGTGACGCATTACCACTCGTACTCCTAGGAATCCGTTCAACCATACTGAAGGATATAGGTTGCACAGCCACTGAGCTAGTTTACGGTACAACTCTCACATTATTAGGCCAATTAGTATATTAAGACACATCAGTACCAACTGATCCAAGTCGTTCCGTTAGTCGACTTCTACAAACAATGCAAAGAATCAAAGCAATACTGCCGCGGGAACATAATAATCAAATACAACTTGACAAAAGCCTAGAAATTTGTAAACTTGTCTTCGTTTGAGTTGACGCTGTTAAAAAGGCACTGAAACAACCTTACGACGGACCATATCAAGTAATTAAACGGACAAATAAACACTTCATAATCAACAAGTGGGTAAAGAACGAGACTACTGCTATTGATAGAATAAAGCCAGCTTTCTATGAAGTGCAACAAGACCAAGAAGATAGCACCGCAGTTAATCAGCCCACTCCCACTAATCACTACAAGAACAGAGGA